AGAGAGAGAGAGGAGAGAGAGAGAGAGAGAGAGAGAGAGAGAGAGAGAGAGAGAGAAGAGAGAGAGAGAGAGAGAGAAGAGAGAGAGAGAGAGAGAGAGAGAGAGAGAGAGAGAGAGAGGAGAGAGAGAGAGAGAGAGGAGAGAGAGAGAGAGAAGAGAGAGATAGAGAAATATCACATCCTATCACAAGAGATTAGTTTGTTCACATACACTGTTTGTATCTTCTCTGTGTAATCACTACTGAATAACTCTTACACAAAGCACAAAGGAGGACAGCTCAATGCATTCATCTTTTAATACTGTACTGGTAACCAAACTCAGGGACTTCCAAGGCTGAAGTCTGAGACGTGACAATGTTCACCTCAAGTTCCAGGCAACTTGAACCCCAAGCTTGCTAAGTTGATAACTTTCCTAATATCTGGATGTGTCGTGTTGAGAAAGTGGGAGTGTGAGAGTGCGCTCTATAGTTTCCCAACTCGTAGAGTACCAAGGCATCTTCGGTTATGACGTCCGGACAAACTTTTAATCTTATATATTGTATAATATTTCTTAAATTCAGCTTACATGTTTACTAATATTCTCGAGACTATTTCCATTTTCGTTCCCTTTTTACGCTGGGATATTAGCATTAAAATATTTTTTAATTTATATATATGTTAACAATTTAAGTATTTATTAATATGAACGAGTCTGTATAGACTGTGATTTGTCTGTGATACTCAGTGAAGTAGTGGTGATTGGACCGACGTGTCCCGGGATGGAAGAACTGTCCGTCTGTTAAAGCATGTTGTAAGCCTGTGTAGAAGTCTGCCAGTGTGTTGCTGGAGGAACCCCTGTCAGTGTGTTGCTGGAGACCCCTGGCCAGTGTGTTGCTGGAGACCCCTGCCAGTGTGTTGCTAGAGACCCCTGCCAGTGTGTTTGCTCTGAGACCCCTGCCAGTTGTGTTTTGCTGTGGAGACCCCGCCCATTGTGTTGCTGAGAGACCCCTGCCAGTGTGTTGCTGGAGACCTCTGTCAGTGTGTTGCTGGAGACCCTGCCTGCCAGTGTGGTTTGCTTGCTGGAGACCCCGGTCATTGTGTTGCTGGAGACCCCTCCAGTGGTTTTGCTGGAGACCCCTCCTGCCGTGTTGTTGCTGGAGACCCTTCGTGTGTTGCTGGAGACCTCTGTCTGTGTCTCCTGACACCTCTGTCAGTGTGTTTGCTGGAGACCCCTGCCAGTGTGGTTGCTGGGAGACCCCTGCCAGTGTGTTTCGCTGGAGACCCCCTGCCATGTGTTGCTGGAGACCCCTGCCAGTGTGTTGCTGGAGACCTTTTCTGTTCTGTGTTTCTACCTGATCAACATAGGAGGCCAGATACTTTGGGCTAGCCTAATGGATCTTTTCATCATCATATGAGATTTTATGGCGAGAGTCATAGAAAAACTCTCGCCCAAAGAAAGTTTGGGTCGACCAAGATTACCCTGTTTATATAGGATTGACTCCTTTTGCGACAACCAATAACTCCTATGAAGTCTGTAATGTGCTTGCCCATAGTGTGTTTCAACAGGTTTTTTCAGAAATTACCGAAGTTGAATCAACGTCTCTAATATGGTACAACGTTGATTGACTGCCGAGGAAGGTGGATGTCCTGCGAAGCGACGTTCTCTTATGGGAACACAGACCTAATAGGGCCGTTGGAGCACCCCGGGGATACGACCCTCATTACCCCTCAATGGAGCGAGAGTGATGGAGACTTACATGGAGAAGAGCCTAGCGAGAGCTCTCCAACAACATCTAAGTTACTGTGGGGGAGATCTGAGTCCAAGACCGCAAGTGTGGAGAGTGTGACCGTCAGGTGGAGACAGTGACGTCATTGAGACAGCACCGACAACTTCTGTCTGGTAAAGATGACATTCCCACCACAGTAGAGAACTGTAAGATGCGAAAGAAAATTAGTGTCCTATCGTCAAAGTCGCAAAATAATGTTACTTTGCCAACTGCCCAAATTACCATCCAAAATAAGAGGGCCAGGGTCCATACCCATAGTTGTTTGACCAAGGATCCCAAAACACATTTGTCACTAAAAAGGCGGTAGATGATCTACAATTAAAGCCTGTAAAACAGACATTGAATATTTCGGAGTTCCTAACTGATACAGGACCACAAGTCTACCAAGTGGTACAACCATCAGTACGTTTAGGCAGCTACGTCTGTCAAGTACCAGCCATTGTGGTGGACACAATTCCAACCGACCTACATGTACAAGGTCTGGGAGCTACTGCCAAATTCCTGTGAAATAGAGGAATAAAATTGGCAGATAAAATTAAGTCTGATCACCTCACCGACTTCGGAATCCTTGTAGGTACAGACTACTACCATCGATTCATCGGAAGTTGCCTTCTAAATATCAGGGAATAAACATGTTAAATTCTGCAGGAGGCAAATAACTCTCAGGCCCAGTATTAAGCCTGAGGAGACCTATGCCTGAAGATAAACAATACCAGTAGAAATCTAAATTTGTCAGCTGATTATACAACTCCAGTAGTATTATACTAAGGAGATTACAGCTGACTATAACAACAGAGGTTGACCTTAATATCATCATTGAAAGCTGAAGATGTGTTCACGAGGCCTCAGTGGTAAATCAGTGAACAGCAGCCTAAACAGCTACAAGTCACTGCGACCAATGTCACTGAACCCACTACAGTCTCAGCCATACTTGAATTTAATGATTGACTGTTCAATCCTCTGAATCAACTATCTAAATTAAACCCCAATTTGTCAGCCAAATAATCCAGCAAATAAGCACAAGGGAGCTTGACTGACTATATAAATCCGATGACTGATTTTGATACATTTATTATTTAATCAAGATGTACTCCATGGGCCTCAGTGTTTATACATCAGTGACCAGTTACCTGAACAAGCTTCAAGTTATTATAACTAATGTCACTGTTCCCACTGCAGTCCCAGAATCATTCTTGACCGTAGTAGTTGTTCACTTTCAGTCCTCTGGGTTAAATAAAAGGTAATTAGGCTAGAAATTTTGCCTCACGAGATTAAGCAGGGAAATGAAATCGTCAAAAGACTTCTAACCCCTGCATTTCTACTAAGGGATATCCGTCCTGTACGAACTGATGCACAAATGTGTGATTACTAACTACTAACATCATATTAATCTAAAATTTCTGAGGAGGAGTATTGGTTGTTCGTCTGTTCTAAATATTGAACCTCGACCCGTGTTCGGCCCCCGGGGAATTATGTCGTAAAACCCGACACTATTTACTAATATTCAATACAATAAGCAGATAATATTGCTGCTGTTTGTAACAACAAATTAACCATAAAAATAGTGTTTCAATCTCTCATAAATTAATCCCTTGGCACAGTGAAATTTTCCTCAATAGAAAATGGGGGATATCATTGCCACATGTCATTAAATTCACTACCTAATATTATGAATCATTCTTAATACAGCAGTCTCTGGACTGTAAACATCATAAAAACATTTCCACTTGAATCAACTTAATTATCAGTACTGAAATAGAGTAAATGTAGGCCCTCTAACCCCTTCTTAACCGTAATTCTTCTCCTTTCTAGACAATGTAGTTTTAAGCTTTGTCAATCTTTTTTCATATGACAGGTTTGTAATTTGGGGGGCTAACTTCGTCATCCTATGTTGGACACGTTCTAGTGAATTTATATCCATTCTATAGTACGGCGACCAAAACTGAACTGCATAATCTAAATGGGCCTAACCAGAGCAAGATATAGTTGAAGAACAGCCCCATGTATCTTATTAGTAACGATTCGATTAATAAATCCCAGTGTCCTATTTGCCTTATTACGAACATTTATGCATTGATTTGTTTGTTTTAAATTCTTACTAATCATAACTCCCAGATCCCTTTCGCAATTCGACTTCGCAATCTCAACACCATCTAGCTCGTATCTTGTAACTCTATCATCATTACTTAGCCTCAAAACCTAACATTACAGTCAGCATTAAACTGCATCTTCCAATCTTTGACTATTTCAAAACAATATTTAGATCGTCTTGAAGTGATAGTGAGTCTTTTTCTGTGTTTATTTCCCTTCCTATTTTTGTATCATCGGAAAATTTGCAAATATTGCTGCTCAAACCTGAATCTAAATCATTTATATATATTATGAATAACAGAGGTCCCAGGACAGCACTTCACTTACAACATTTTCCCACCCTGACTTGACCCCCATTAATACTAAATCTTTGTTTCCTTTGGTATAGCCATGCCCTAATCCAGCTTAATAGCACCCTTAATACCATGAACCTCTATCTTTTTAATCAGTTTTTCATGTGGCACTGTATCAAAAGCTTTGCTAAAGTCAAGGTACACAACATCACAAACCTTACCACTACCAACTGCCTCAACTATGCAGAATAAAAAGATAGCAAATTTGTTAAAGATGAACGGTCATTAGTAAAACCATGTTGTGAATCATTTATTAACCTATGTTTTTTTTTCAAGATGATGACGAATGGCATTTGCAGGGATCAATTCAACCAACTTTCCCACAATAGATGTTAAACTAATTAGCCGATAGTTTGATACAAGAGATCTATCTCCTTTCTTAAAAATTGGTACCACATTAACACCCTTTCACGACTCTGGCACCCTGCCTGACTCAAATAATTTATTAAATATGGTAGACAGTGGCTCGCAAAGCTCCTCTTTGCATTCCTTAAGCACCCTGGCAAACACTTCATCCGGCCCTGGGGATTTGTTTGGCTTGAGTTTCACTATTTGTGTAATGACATCCTCCTTGGTAACTGCTAAACTAGTCAACCTGTCCTCGTCCCCACCCACATAGACTTGTTTAGCTGAAGACATAATGTAAAGTTCCTCTTTAGTAAATTCAGAGATAAAATGTTGACCAGACCACACACTAGAAGTTGAAGGGGATGACGACGTTTCGGTCCGTCCTGGACCATTCGCAAGTCGATTGTGTAGGAGATAAAATATTTGTTAAAAATACTACTCACCTCATCGTCATTATCCGCTATCTGACTTGTCTCAGTTTTTAATGGACCTATCCTTTCCCTAAACTTTGTTCGATATAACTGAAAATACCTTTAGGATTTGTCGTTGCTTAGCCTTCTATAGGAACTTTATAGTTTCTTTTTGCCCTCCTTATCACTTTTTTTAATATTTCTAATCAGTTGTACGAATTCTTGTTCTAAACTGACTTCCCCATTCTTAATCCTTTTGTACCAAGCTCTCTTTCTATCTATAAGGTTTTCAGATCAGTTGTTATCAATTTCGGGCCATTAATGTTCAAACTATTCAATTTGTATGATTGCTGGATTTCAATCCCAATAAGTATAAAGTAATGAAAATGAAGATAGAAGAAAGAAGACAAAAAGGTTTCTACATCATAAATGGGAGGCAACTGCATTAATAAGAAAGATAAAAAGATCTAAGAGTTGGTAAAGTCCTACACAACCATCAGAGGCACACATAGGCAGAGTAACATCAGCAGCACATGTGATCCTGGCAAACAATAGAACGTCGATTACAAATCTAAAGCAGGAAGATTACGAGGAAATTTACACATATTTGTTAGCTTTGTAAATTGCCTTGCATTTACTGCATAATTATAAACAATCATAACAAAATGCAGTGTTGCATGCAAGAATATGCAGCGCTGGCCAGGAACCCAATTCTTGTGACGCATAAAACTAAAATGAAAAAGTGCAGAGGTTTACAACCAGACTAGTGCCAGAGCTAAGAGGGTTAAGCTATGAGGATAGGTTGAAGGAACTGGACCTCACAACCATGGAAGACAGACGAACAGAGATGATCACAACATGCAAGATGCTGAGGCGTGAATAGAGGATGGATAAAGATATCCTATAGTAGAACACGAGGACACAAGTGGAAGCTGTAAACTTGAACGAGTCAAAGAAATACAAGGAAATACTCGTTCCATGTACGAGTGGTCAAGAGGTGGAAGGCACTGAAGGTAGTAGTTGGAGGAACCAACTACTACCTAACTATCTTGATGGTGAGGATAGTTAGGCTATAATGTAACAGTTACAGTAAGCCTAGTTGGCGGGGCATACAGTGCTTACCTTCACCCGTAGGCACGCGTAAGAACACACAGAGAAGCACTTCAGCATTTGCCAGCATGTATAGTTGCTAAGGATGTGAGCTGCATGTTGCCTCACATTCTGAGCCAGCATGTGAGGTCAGCTTCTTGATGTCAGCAGGTACATCAACGTGGACCAGAATGTGTAGTACATCAACGTGGCCCAGAATGTGTAGTACATCAACGTGTCCCAGAATGTGTAGTACATCAACGTGGCCCAGAATGTGTAGTACATCAACGTGGCCCAGAATGTGTAGAACATCAACGTGGACCAGAATGTGTAGTACATCAACGTGTCCCAGAATGTGTAGTACATCAACGTGGCCCAGAATGTGTAGTACATCAACGTGGCCCAGAATGTGTAGAACATCAACGTGGCCCAGAATGTGTAGAACATCAACGTGGCCCAGAATGTGTAGTACATCAACGTGGCCCAGAATGTGTAGAACATCAACGTGGCCCAGAATGTGTAGTACATCAACGTGGCCCAGAATGTGTAGAACATCAACGTGGCCCAGAATGTGTAGAACATCAACGTGGACCAGAATGTGTAGTACATCAACGTGGGCCCAGAATGTGTAGTACATCAACGTGGCCCAGAATGTGTAGTACATCAACGTGGCCCAGAATGTGTAGTACATCAACGTGGCCCAGAATGTGTAGAACATCAACGTGGACCAGAATGTGTAGAACATCAACGTGGCCCAGAATGTGTAGAACATCAACGTGGACCAGAATGTGTAGTACATCAACGTGGGCCAGAATGTGTAGTACATCAACGTGGCCCAGAATGTGTAGAACATCAACGTGGCCCAGACTGTGTAGAACATCAACGTGGGCCAGAATGTGTAGAACATCAACGTGGACCAGAATGTGTAGAACATCAACGTGGCCCAGAATGTGTAGTACATCAACGTGGCCCAGAATGTGTAGAACATCAACGTGGCCCAGAATGTGTAGTACATCAACGTGGCCCAGAATGTGTAGAACATCAACGTGGCCCAGAATGTGTAGAACATCAACGTGGACCAGAATGTGTAGTACATCAACGTGGCCCAGAATGTGTAGTACATCAACGTGGCCCAGAATGTGTAGTACATCAACGTGGCCCAGAATGTGTAGAACATCAACGTAGCCCAGAATGTGTAGTACATCAACGTGGCCCAGAATGTGTAGTACACCAACGTGGCCCAGAATGTGTAGTACATCAACGTGGCCCAGAATGTGTAGAACATCAACGTAGCCCAGAATGTGTAGTACATCAACGTGGCCCAGAATGTGTAGAACATCAACGTAGCCCAGAATGTGTAGTACATCAACGTGGCCCAGAATGTGTAGAACATCAACGTAGCCCAGAATGTGTAGTACATCAACGTAGCATTCTGGGTACACATGTGTAGTTCAACAGCTAAGGTCAACATGTGTAGTTCAACAGCTAAGGTCAACATGTGTAGTACAACAGCTAAGGTCAACATGTGTAGTACGACAGCTAAGGTCAACATGTGTAGTTCAACAGCTAAGGTCAACATGTGTAGTTCAACAGCTAAGGTCAACATGTGTAGTTGAACAGCCTGGGTGGGAATTACGCGCTTGAAGCGGGTGGAGATTATCCTCCTTAGATATATGAAAGGTGTTAAACAAAGAAGCGATATTTTACCAAGTCACATCCCAAGTGCCCCATCATCCACGCACATAAACAGCAAGTAAGTAATTACCGCAAGAATGCACCGAGCTGGGAAGACTGTGCTGGTGCACGCTATACCAAGCACAGGAATACCAGGCTCAAAGGAACCACGCCCCTCCACACACGCATAAACCAAACGTCGGGGATTCGGGGCCTCAGGGGCTTTCTCTCGGACACTAAACGACGGTGGAAAATAAAAAGGTCTGTAATTTATTCCCTAATAACGAACGGCTTTCACTGAATCGTTTGCCAATACGGCAAAAATAGCGTCTTAGCTAAAAGCAATAAGGTCCTATCTCATCTGTTCAAAGCCAAAACGCCAGTTGTTGAAAGGAATTATGTTGACATTGTCTGGCAGATGATTTATAATGGCTGAGCATGTTTGTCACTTGTGTATGTGAGCTGTGAACGGACCTCGGGCGTGTCCTGGCTTAGTAATGATGTTACGAACTGGCTCAACTCCACTATGATCATATGCAACACAAATTTGCTGGCAAAACATTGGAAGCCAGAGATGAAATAGTGAAGGAAACAAATATGGATATCTGTTGAAGATAACATGTGTCTGTTGAAGATAACATGTGTTTGTTGAAGATAACATGTGTTTGTTGAAGATAACATGTGTTTGTTGAAGATAACATGTGTTTGTTGAAGATAACATGTGTTTGTTGAAGATAACATGTGTTTGTTCGGTTGTCAGTGTGTTCGAGGTTGAAGGCCAGAGGCTTGGATCCGGGCTTGCCAAAATTGGCGATGGTTTATAGTGGTGGTTCTGGAGGGTTGGGGTTGACCTTCGTGCCCCCTGTAGGTCATACTGACTTAGTGCTTTACCTTGATAATTACCTTGCTTTACCTTGTAGGAAATGGTAAATGATACCAATTACCCGCCTCCCTCAATACCAGCCTACAGCCTCGCGGAGACCAAGTATATTATTTCCCACATGATGACTAAATGTAAGGTTCTCTCGTATTCTTTATTGATAAATTCATTGCGTGGTGATAACAGAAGCAGTAATGAAGGCAGTGGTGAAGGAAAGATGATGAAGGGTAAGGTTGGTGGTGAGGAAAATGGATGAAGGGGAGGGGAGGCAGTGAAGGGTTGGGAAGGTTGTCAAAAGAAGGAAGATGGTTAGGCAGAGGGAAAGAAATGACAATAATGGCTGTAGATGGGATTCCTTGTAAGTACTGAAGAAGGGTTTAGTGATTGTTGTGTGCAGTAGGATGGTTACAGTGAGGGAAAATAGTGCATAGAAAATATTAAAAGATGGATAGAGTGATTGTATTACAAGCCCTCACTCTCTGCCACACACAGCAACATAGCCAGGTTCCAGCCCTCACTCTCTGCCACACACAGCAACATAGCCAGGTTCCAGCCCTCACTCTCTGCCACACACAGCAACATAGCCAGGTTCCAGCCCTCACTCTGCCACACACAGCAACATAGCCAGGTTCCAGCCCTCACTCTCTGCCACACACAGCAGCGTAGCCAGGTTCCAGCCCTCACTCTCTGCCACACACAGCAACATAGCCAGGTTCCAGCCCTCACTCTCTGCCACACACAGCAACATAGCCAGGTTCCAGCCCTCACTCTCTGCCACACACAGCAACATAGCCAGGTTCCAGCCCTCACTCTCTGCCACACACAGCAACATAGCCAGGTTCCAGCCCTCACTCTCTGCCACCACACAGCAACATAGCCAGGTTCCAGCCCTCACTCTCTGCCACACACAGCAACATAGCCAGGTTCCAGCCCTCACCTCTGCCACACACAGCAACATAGCCAGGTTCCAGCCCTCACTCTCTGCCACACACAGCAACATAGCCAGGTTCCAGCCCTCACTCTCTGCCACACACCGCAACATAGCCAGGTTCCAGCCCTCACTCTCTGCCACACACAGCAACATAGCCAGGTTCCAGCCCTCACTCTCTGCCACACACAGCAACATAGCCAGGTTCCAGCCCTCACTCTCTGCCACACACAGCAACATAGCCAGGTTCCAGCCCTCACTCTCTGCCACACACAGCAACATAGCCAGGTTCCAGCCCTCACTCTCTGCCACACACAGCAACATAGCCAGGTTCCTACTAGTCACATGATAACTCTAGAGAAGTCATCAATAACTCTAGTCCATTCAAGAGTTCATGTAATGCTTTATCTGAATATGTAAAATAATTGAATATTAAAATGTGTATTAATAGGCAACATGACAGTTTGTGTTCA